AGTTGATAAAGTAAATTTTTAAAATCTGCATTGTTCGATACAGCACTGTTCGATACGGGTACATGCATTGTTGCACCCCATAAATATATAATAAATAAAGCTCAAAAGTCAGCACTCATCTGAATGAGCTAAAGCTCTTGATATAGGAATGACTAAATGTGAAAGTTTTTACTGTACAGAAAAACAGGAAACGTTGGAACTGCTTACACACAAAACTCAGAAATTTCATGGTGTTCGTCCACAAAGATCAGACTGTTATTAACCGAAAGTCTTCATGATCRGTCCATGTGTCAGTGTTAGTGGATGTGTTGTGTGTTTACCCACTCACCCACCCACATGAACGCTATCAGTAAAGATAAGACGAGCAAACACAACTTTCAGTTTTGGAAGTTTCACATGGGCTTCAGTGCRGCGAGTCGACATCCTGTCAGTCTGCTGACAGGCATGTGATGAGGCCAAAGGTGGCTGCAGGAAACCGTTCAAACCAGATGAAACGAGACAGACTTCTTTCTTATTGAAACAAAGACATGAAATGTAGGTCTTTTTTTTTTTTTGTGGAGCGTGCCGAGTAGGTTTTTATTTTTAGTTTCTTTGTCATCACAGCGAGGAAATAAGGGTGGTTTGTGTTGTCGAATGATGTCATGGAAGAAGGCAGGGCCGCTCAAGTGTCGACGGTCTGAATCAGTTGAATTTATGGCTTTATTCTACCTCTAAAACAGTCCACAGCAGTCATATAAACACAGAACAGAAACTTCCAGCGTGACCCTGATATAAAACGGTTCTGTTTGTCAGCGTTTTGTAAATCATTGAAGAGAGTCAGGAGAAGCTGGCAGAGCTTCAGTCACAGTTTACGTCAGGACATGTTGGACTCTGACTCTCCTGGCACCGGCAGACAAACATCTTGTGGAAAAGCCAAACGCTTAAAAAGTACTGTGACACACCAGGACCTCGTTAAACCGTTTATTATTTATTTATTTATTTATCTATTTATTTATTTGTTTATTTATTTTGTACTTCCTGAGTGTTCTGAGGGTTACTGGTTTCCTCCCAGAAGCCTCCCCGTCACACTGCGCGGTGCGACTCAGTCATGAGACCTCAGTTAGCTCGTTGTTTACTGTAACTCCGGATTATATCTGCTTCCAAAGTCTCCCACTCCRAAACAAGCTGCTTCATGTCCTCACAGTTATTTACATATTTTCACGTTTAGCTCACGTGTCACACATCCTTTTTACTGTAAAGACGTTGTTAGAAATCAAATAAAACAAGCAGAAAATAAAAAAAGTAAGGAAACATTCACATATTTCCTTTAGACATGATTTCACGCTGCGGCAGCTCAGATATTTAGAGTTTAATTAAGGAGAACTTTTGTGCAAGGGCTTTTAATGTGAAAGGAACATTTGTGCAAAGATTGTGAATTACTAATATCTTACCTGCTGTAGATGGGTCTTCGATAAAATTACAGCTACTTGTACATTTTTTATTTTTTTACACAGTAATGCCTAATTGTTTGTTAGCGCKAATAGCAGCAAATAACTCTATTGTGATACATCATTAATGATTATATACATGTTTATGTYGAATAAAAAGTGCACAATGATGTGTCAAAAACCCTATTAACCTCCATTGACCAACAATTAGCATAGATGCTAACTTAACACTGAAAGCGCCATAGAACAGCTAACACAATTAGCATCACGTTTATCACTGGAAATTTGGACATGTTCAAACTTTTCCAAATCATTTCATAAGATACTCCTGCTATAAAAACTACATATATTATTTACAGAGATACTCTTCAGGGTTTAGCAAAGAAAAAATGACAAATAAATGAAAAATACACAACTTTACCACGTTTTTCAGTTACAGGAAGCTACAGAAACTCTGTTACACCAGTTTTTTATTTGTCATTCAGGCATCTGCTTACAGTGTACGCAGAACAAAATTACGTTTTGTTTGGCTCAAGGATAGTTGTACAAAAAAGATGTGAAATTATGAAGTCTTGAATGTTTTTAATAAATATAAAAATATTCACAGAAATGAGCCTAAAAAAATCCACAAAATAAGCACAAATCTGCAGAATGAGCTTGAMTGTAAATACAGTAATATGGTAGGGAATGTCCACATAAAGTTATGAYCATTAACATACAGTACGTACACTGTTCTTTATGTTATTTTATTCGGACAAACATCCCTGTCTGCTGATGCTCTTAAAGTGGCAAAACAGATTGACGTTAACAAAATACATTTTTGTTGTTTGAAAATGGATTTAGTCTTCTAAAAGTAATAATAAAAAAGTAGATTTTACTCCCACCTTTAGAAATATTAGGTTTCTGCTGAAATAACTAATTGACAATAACAGACTTTGTATGAACAAAGTTGATTCTTAAAGAGTATTTTATTTTGTTAAGATGAGTAAAATGTTTTCCTTTCATTTCAGAATAAATTCAGACTATGACCAGCTTCTCCTGTGTTTGGTATTAAAGTTGGAAAACAAAAAAAGCAGCAGCTAAATGTTTAGTAAAATCCTTATTTTTAGGAGTTAAAACTGGAGTGAAAACATGTTTTTTTGCAGTTAAATCTACAGTTTTAGTCTGCGTCCAGTAATAATTGCTCCTCCTTCTCCTGCTGTTACAGAGTGGGYGTCCTGGAGGATGACTTCACCTGTCTGGGGATCCTGTGTGCCATCTTCTTCTTCCCCCTGGGCATCCTCTTCTGCTTTGCTCTGCGCCAGAGAAGGTGTCCCAACTGTGGCGCCACCTTTGGCTAGAGGGACCAAACTACAGCTCTTAGCTCCCATTTACACACAAACATAATCCTGCGKTTTTTTTTTTCCTGTACAACAAATCATATAGATATTTTGCCATAAATTTTGATGTTAAAAATCTATTTTCATCTTGAAGTGAAGGATATTTTTAGCACCTGCGAGTGTCCAGCTGTTGTCAGTGCCTTCACTACTTGCTGAGTTTTTTTTCTCTCTAAGTTTTGTTGTTTGTGGATCTGAGCGGATTCCTTTACTCGAAGCCATTAGTTTTTGTTTGTTGTTTGCACACTTTGCTTTCAGTTACCATCATGCCTGGTGACATCATACTCGTATCACTGACAAATTAGCTTTGAGTTTTTCAAAACATCTTGGACGTGATCTGCTTCGACTGGAACAGTGGACTTCTGCCTGACGAACCTTTTTGTTTGTTTGTTTTTGTTGTTCTTGGGGCCATATTTGCACTGACATTTTGATGATGATGATGATGATGATGATTCTGCTGGGGTGTTTTTCCAGGCCCAATGCAGACCTCAGGTACATACAATCTGAAACGCCCTCGACTTTTCCAGCCCCACTGTTTTGAGAGGCGCAGCCTTTGTGTCGAAGCAGAGTTCAGCCATGTGAGAGCTGAAACCTCTGGACGATGTGTAAACTCTYAAGGTTTTTATCTCTGTACTCTGTGACAAATCGGCTTCCTCCCAGCCCAGATGATGAAGAAAGTCTTCGTCTCCACCTCCCCGTGTCTGCAGCCGTCGTCTTCCACAGCTGGATGTTTTAAATCTGTTCATAAACTGGGCGGGAGGGGTTCAAATAGTCTTTGCTTTAGAGAACACACTACGCACGCTCTTATGAGATTCTTACTTTTTATAAATATGTTACTGTAATTAAAATGTAATGCTACTCTTGTCTTCCCCCCTTTTTTTAAATTAACACAATTTGCATTTCCTGCAAAAAYGGAGCATGAATGCTTAATTTTATTACATGTTTTTAGGGGTGGGGGGAAACCCACCCTTATTCGGAAAGCTGCTGAAGTCTAACTGAAAAGATTCATGAGAGTTAAACTTGAAAAGCTGATTTGTTGAAAGTAGGAAACAAAAGTGAGATCTGAAAAAAGTGTCAAAAGCTGAACAGAGCCGAAATGTGGCTAAGGTTGGCAGAAAATAGTATATTTTAGCAAAAAATGTAGTGTAAAATGAAAAATTACACACTATTTTAAAAAGAATAAAGCTGAAATTTAATTGAAAGAGTAAGATGCTAAAATATTCCACAAAAAATGAATTTAGATGAAATTAGCTGAGAAATAGAAACTGAAGAAGCATGTTTGGTGGATTGAGCTGAAAGGACCAAACCATGAGTTTAACGATGCTAAATTTAGAAAGGAAAAAAATAGTTGGAAAAAAAAAAACAGGAGCCTTAGATTAAAAAAAAGTAAAAAGCACATCAAATAGCAGAAAGAAGTTGAAAAATGGTAAAATGAGCAAAAAATGTAAGATTAACACAAAAGTTAAACAAGCAGAACAAAGTGAAGATCTATAAACATTTTAAAAGGTTTAAAGGATGTTGAAGACAAATCCATTTATGTTCAATGAGGGAAAAAAAAAGTCTGAAAGCAAAAATATTTTAAGAAATTGTTGAAATTCCAAAAGCCATAGCTGGAATGTCCCGAATAAGCTGAACATTTTGATCAATTATTGAAATGGCACAAAAATTGTGAAACAATTACGTGCTCAAAAAATAAAAGGGGAGAAAAATGAATAATAGTGTGAATGATTTAGCATTCTCACCATTAAAACTAGAGACACTGTATTTCCTGTGAAAACGCAGTGTAAATGCACACTGCTAAATATTTTAACTGAAAGCTGCAGACGAAGCTGAAACATTTTTAAATGCAAAACTATTACTGAATTCTAACAGCTGAGGTGGAACCCAAAATTAGCTGAACGATTGCTGAAATTTCCTGAAAAAAACCAAACTGAAAACAAAAACTTWAAGGGRCAGAAAATAGCTGAAAAAAAMCCCCAATGCAGATAAAAAGTAAAAGGTGTATAAATGTAGCTGAAAGAGGCAGAAAATTCTGAAAGAAAGTGAAAGGAACAAAAGAAAATGTTAAAAATGCACTAGAGGACATTAGCAGATGAGAGCAGAAAAGGTCAACGATAGAAAAAAAAAAAAAAAAAAGCTAAAATCACCTAAACAGGTCAGAGGAAGCAGAAATTAGCACAGAGAAGTTAAATAAGCAGAACCAGAACAAAATGTAAAAAAAGTCAAGGTGTATGAATATTTGAGGATGAATAAAAAAGGCAAAAAAAGCAAAATATCTAAAAGTATATTTGCAGTGTCCTGAAGGAGCTGAAGATTGACATAAATTGTTTAAAACACAAAAATTGCGAAACAAAATATATTTAAAAAAAGATCTTAATAGTCAAGCGTTCACGTAAACATTGCATTTTTTGTCATGCAGTGAAACTTGTTCTGAATGACTCTCAGCTACTACCACACTGACATTTAGCTACCTGTGTAAAAACTGAGCTGGTAAGCCATCTGGACCTGGGCCGACTCTGTCGTCRCACAACCAGTAACAGAATGAAAGTTTAAAAGCTGGAGTCATGCCTGAGATCTTTTGCTCACACAACAAACATGGCTGCAGGCACAGGCAAAAACATTAACTTCAAACTGAAGAAATAAATCTTTATTTTTTTATTTCATTTTACATAGCAAGTGATATTAAGGTGGGAATGAGGGACGACAAATTGTACAATCGTTTGACTCGATCAACTGCACGGCCAGAGGAAGGATGGAAACCTGTTGAATCGGTTTGACAGCAGGTTTGTGTTAAGGCACAAGTGTCCACGTTACAAAAAGTTAACTTAGGTGAGGATYAGTATTTACACCTGGACAGGAAATAAAATCTGTGCCTTTTCGGACACGTCTCTACATCTTTTCTCTCCCAACAACCGTCGACTTTCGGTCGACTTTAATCCCTTTCAACAGCGATCGGATGTAAAGCTGAAATGTTAAATTCCTGCTGTCCCTAAAAACAAAAAAACAGTCAAAGAAGCAACATCAGCATCATAAATACATTCAGATATTTTGACCTTTTTTATTCAGCTATACTTCACAAGTGCAGGTAAAATAGGCGATTTCAATCTCACCACAACACAGATGGTTTAAAATAGAAAACGTATAGATCATAAATATATTCAGGAAATAAAACGCTCCCAAAATACTTCTTTCATTGTAGCAGTAAGGTGACACTAATTTAAATGGCCTTTTTATCGATTTATTTTCAGTTCCTCCCCTGTGGTCCAGATGTAGCTGCTGGATGGTGAGAGGCTGAACTACACGACCGTGGCGGTGACCGGAGAAGCTCGATGGGATTTGAAGATGAAGATGAGGATGATCAGATGACCGGCGCAGAGCGATCGTTGGTGACGGTGGGACGTAGTCTGACCGAGGAGAACGGGTTTCCTCCGCTGTGGAAAAAGCAGAGGAGGTGAATCACCGTGTGTCTGAGTGAGACTAAAGGAAACCTTGGTTGGATCAGGTGACCTACGCCAGGTAAGCAGGCGGAGGTCTGGAGACACCGTTTGACTGGACTGCCTGCGAAGAGAAAAAAAATAAAACACTCAGATTATTTCTGTGGTTTTGACCCCAATTTGCAGCTTATTTCAATCCAACATGTTTTTGTTCTCAGAAGATAAACTTGATGTGTTAGATGATGAGACAATGTGTGGAATCTGGAGATTCTGGAAATTCAAGTCGGTTTTACTTCTTTAACAAGTTTCTGCCATTAACAGTCTGTGAGGCATGAGCAACTCTTAACAGAACAAATTCATTTCATTCGGGTCTTTAAAGAGAAATAGTCGTTTATAAAAATAGTAACAACTAGACATGGGTTTTTACGATGTAAAAAYAGGTGTGCATTGCCATGTAGCATGTCATTGCTGCATAAACTTTGACCAAGTTCAAATGTGTTTTCTATACCAGCTTGTGCCTGTCACGTCAGCTGGTGTTTGTAATTAAGGTAATTGTGTGACAATATGAAGTTTGCAGAGATTTTTGCTAAAGTAGCAGTAGCTGGATTTGAACCCTGATCTCCCGCATGAAAGCCCACAGTGCTCATCATGAGACTATAGGAGATGTGGCAGAGGACAATCCCAGGGATTGGATTGTATGTATACAGAAAAGGTTTACCTTGCCAATGCAATTATTGACACTTAAGTGCAATATGGAGAGGAGGGTCCGTCGGATAGTCAAACCTCGGATTCAGGAAGAGCAG